ACACACATAATATTTAAATATAATTTGTTAACACTAAATCATACACACGTAAGAAAATAACAGAAAGAAAAGTAAGTTTGTCAATAGAATAAACACTTACATCCATGGCCTTTGATGCGTTGAAGTAACACAAACGTAGTATTGATAGATCCACTGCGGTCAAACGACCATACACTAACTCCATGACTGCAGTTGCTTGGTCTTATATAGTACCAGTGAGTAATAATTCTAATCTAAAGAATTTCTGCAGTAGAATTGATAGTATCTTTATGCGTCAACAAGCTTACCTTACATTCTGTCGGTTATCTCTACATTACTACGTCCTTCCTGTCATGTCTTGTTCAGTGTATTGGTGACTCAAATACGTTTTGTATAACACAAAGAAAGCAATTTAATATTTAGATATCACTATAATTGATCATTCCTATATTAGTCATTGAGTAGATTGGTACTGTAATAATCTACTAATAGCAGTAATATTATGGATACACTAGATGTACAACAACATCTGAAAAAGATTCACCCCACTCTAGAAAATAATGTTTATGCTGCCAATAAACTACCCATGTACACCCACGTACCAACGTATATAATATGCAATTTGGATACAGATGATAAACCAGGGTCACATTGGGTATCTTTATATATCGATACGAATGACGTCGGTCAATATTTTGATTCATTCGGACGGGCACCTGTACGATATCATCTAGAGTTTTTTAAAAGAAATTGTAAAAGATGGAACTGGAATGTTGATAGGATTCAGAATGAGTGGACTTCAGTTTGTGGCGAATATTGCTTAATGTATTTGCTATATAAGTTTCAGGGATGTTCAATGCATAGTTTTACGAGTATATTTACAGAGAACACATTGTACAACGATATTTTAGTGGATGAGATGTTTCGCTCCTATTTTATAGATAATAAGTAATAAGATTTTGTATTTCATAAATAAAAATTTTAACAAAATTAGGTAATGTGTTTTATTGATGATTCAGATTAGTGTTGTAGATAGGAACAAAGGAGTATAATACAATAGCATAAGCCGACCCACACGCTGGACGAATAATAGATAATGACGGTAGTCAATCAACAATAGATAAGTAGATAAGGACAATGGAGCGCTAATGACGGTTGAGGCTCGTAGCGGATATCAATTAGATAAGAGTTAATTGATCTGCACATCTCCGGAACCGTGCATCCTACGCAAAAATGGATCAGAGCATGCCAAAACCTTTTTTTTTTTTTTTTTTAGGATTGTGAGTCGACGATCGTCGTGCGCCAGAACTGGTACAACCTTTCTACAAGTGCGCCAGAACTGGTACAACGTAACTACTCTTATGTGACTACCGCCGCCCATGAACAACTGCAACACCAGGGGAATTGCAGGTGCGTTGCCGGCCTTTTAGAAAAGAGTAAGCTCATTTTTTTTCATTTCTGTATTATTATTTTACGCTGGTATTCTGTGAGAGCGTGGGAAAGACCACGCTCTCACAGAATACCAGCGTAAAATAACAGCTTAACACTGCTGTGTTTTGTATGGTGAGTGTAGAGATCAGGAGACCATTTTTTAACGAGGCATTCCATCTTAGTCCTCAGGTGTGACAACGCATCTGCATTTTCATTCTTAATCGAGGATAAATGTAAATGTTTATCGGCCACAGCATTCAATTATCAACAGGTGGACTGTGTGCTCGTTTGTCACCCTTATTCTATATAGAAAATGATATTACCAAATTAAGATATAACGATATAAATATAAATTAATTATTAAGATATTACCGCATCCAGTGCAAAACAACTCGAATCGTCGACGACCGAGTGCTTTCCGATCGGCTCGATTCACTGGTGCTGCGATGAGATGTTGCATCTCTTTGTATTTTCTTTCGCATATAGCATGGGGAATGAGAACTCTGAGGAATTGTTTGGATTAATCCCAGCCGCCAAATTTCGTGAACGCACTACGCAGTAAACGTCCCGATACCATCAGTTTGAAAAGGAGTTTTCTTCCGCGTACGACCTCTCTGTGGAATAGTTTACCACCGGCGATTTTTCCGGACCGATACGACCTGGGGACCTTCAGGTGAGCCGCATGCTCGTTTGCCCCCTCTTCTATAAAAAAAAGATATTATCCCCGTAGAGTTCTGAAACAATATGCTAAACTTAGAATTCCATGTGTTTTAAGGATACTACTATAGTTCTTGCCAAATCGATTGAGAAAAACCGTCATCGTCCGTTTTTCTCAATCGATTTGGCAAGAACTATAGTAACACATTTTTATTGCACATTTTAGGTTTTCTGTCTGTTCACGAGCAGAACGCGTAGTAGTTAGGATTTCAGTTTAAATAAAAAATATCTTCTTCATAATAAATTACTATATTAGAAAACATTTACAGGAAAAAACAAAATACATTCTCTCTTTTCCGAATATTCATGACCTCTGACTTTCTTATTCTTTTAGAATTATTTAAAAACTAAAATAGAACAAAACATATAAAAACTACACGAACATACCGCTCCACTGGAAGCTACAGCTTTCAGTCTTCGTATTGGGGATCCAGTAGGGGACACCGGTACTTAATACCACGTTTGAGAACTCCGTTGGACGTCAGAAAGTCTGCCACACGGTCCGGGACAAAACTGTATGATAAGTCCGAGTTTCCGCTGTAGTGGAGGAGAGTTCTTATCCTCGAATAAAACCAATACTTCGTATGCGGTCTGCGATGCGTTGCAAAAACAAGGAAGCTCGATAGACGTAGTAAAATCACCCAAGATATGCCTGGAATTCGCAAGGTAAGTAAGCTAGGTAATTTTTGTATGAAGTAGAGCCACTCCTGTTTGATAGTATCAGGCACTGGATCATCCCAGTTGACTTTGGATAGCCGTAATCTTTCAATTAGAATTTTAGGTTTTATAGTGAGTGGACTAAGAAGACCAAGAGGATCGAACACCTTACATGAATTGGAAAGGATTGATCTTTTGGTTGGATTTTCATTTTGAATTTTATAGTTAGTGGGGAAATTTAAAAAATCTTCGTTAGGATTCTAACCGACACCTAAAATGTGACAAGAACAGCTTATCACTAAATCTTTCTGAATGTCAGCTTCATCGGGCTTAAATAAAACAGATGGAGAGTTGCATCGGTACTTTCGCAAACTAAATCCACCACTAGATAAAACGGACTCTACGGTGTAAGTAAGTCATCGACTAAGAAGTCGTTTTGAATTGTAGTTTTAATTTTATCATCCTGACATTCCTCTCCTAGCTGCCACAGGCATCGGGTACTTAGAAAGCTTGCGCTAATATGTATTTTCTTATATTTACGCGATTATCACTAATAACTTTGGAAATACTACTACAAATGAAGATTCTACGATAGTGGCTTTATTCGACTTTTTTGCGCCAGAAGCAAATATGGGCAACCCTCCGGAAATCGGGGGAGGGAGGCGGTGAATGCTCGCAGCCGGCTGCGTAGTTATGTGGAGACTTTTACCCACTAAAGCCCACCTTTTAGGGACTGGCTTAACGGTCTAACTAGAGATCTCTAAGCCGTATACGGACGCGACCCTCCTTGTCAGAAAGGAGGGCGCAAGCGGCGAAAAGCCGCTTAGAAGTGTGCCTAACTAAGGCAGATTAAGGGATGTGTTAAGTAGGCTTGGCCTGAGCCGCCAGGAGGCAGTTCAGGTCAGCCGAAAGCTTGTTGGGGGGATCCGAGAGAGAGTTTCTCGGTCTGCGCACACTATAGCGAGTGTGGAGAGGGGCTGCATAGGCAGCAGTCTCGCGAATGAGATGATTTGGGTGGTACTCTGAGGCTTTGAAAAATCTCTCAGAGAGTGATTTAGGGAACTGCTGGATTGTTGGGAGCTCTAAGTCTCGGTGTAGGTCGGCATTACGGACATAATAGGGCGAGTTAGTGGCCCTACGATAGAATATATTTTGAACTATTTGAAGTTCATTTATAACTTTGGGTTTAGCATGTGCGAAAATGGAGGCCGCGTAGGTCATATAGGCCGTATACAGACCTTGTATAGGGTTCGCTTGTTGCGGAGGGACATTTTACTGTGTCTGCCCAACATGCTGTTGAGTCTACCCATGTAAAATCGCGCGGTGCGAGTTACCTTCTTGATATGGGTCTCAAAAGTGAGTCTTGCATCAAGGGTGACGCCTAAATATTTGGCTTTTGTTTGCCATGGGACAGGGGCTCCTAACATTCTGATTGGCGGAGTGGCGGTGAGACGACGTCGTTTATATTCGAAGCTAACGGCGGAGCTCTTCTCCGGGTTTACGTCGATACGCCATTTTTGGAACCAAGCTCCTAAGTCATTAACTGACTTTTGGATCTTGTTCCGAATCTGTGGCAGTGAGTTGCCTTTAGAGTAAAGGGCTGTGTCATCTGCGAAGAGGGCTAGTTTAACACCATTCGACGGATGAATAGTATATATAGAAGGGGGGCAAGCACAGAGCCTTGAGGGACGGCTTTGATTTGACGAGTAGAAGAAAGGTACGATCCTTCAAATAGGAGGCTACAAGGCAGACGAGGCGGTCAGGGAGGCCTAAGTCATACAATTTGTAGATAAGGCCCTCATGCCAGACTCTGTCGAATGCCTTGGCAATGTCGAAAAAGACAGCGATGGTCTTTTGACGACGAGGATAAAAACCGCTGAGGATGTATTCCACTATTCGGTGAACTTGCTGGGGGCACGAGTGTTTGGCTCGAAACCCGATATGTTGAGGGATGACAAGAGGGTCGCCGTCTGTGGGAAACAAATGGCGCCTCATGCGTACGAGAATAACTCGTTCGAAAAGTTTTCCCATGGCCTTGAGAAGGCTGATGGGACGATGATTGGAGTGGTGGTGGTGAGGTTTGCCTGGCTTGGGAATGCCAATGACAGTTGCCTCTTTCCAAGAGGTGAGAACTTCCTTCGACTCATACCTTTTTAATATATAGCCTGCTACTGTAATTCGATTAAAGAAATCCATCGAAGGGTAGGCAAGATAAAATGGGTTTAAAGTGTCTCAAAGTAAAGAAGATCAGCCTGTGCGGCTCCGGCGCTCTTTCTGAAGGGTTCTCCATTGTTCATGCTGCTGGTATCAAGAGTGCTGATTCTTTTCCTGTATGTAATTTATACAACGATTAAATCAAATGTAGAACCGCATTTTTTTACGAATAATATGCTTTGAATAAAAATATATAGTTTATTTTATTCTTGTAACTATGCCTCGAGAATTCACGCTGTATAACCTTGTTTAATTATTATAAATATTTTCGTAGTGATGTATTAATTTTGTTAATAATCCCCAAAAATATTTTAAAACAGATTTTAACAGATCTGATCTATGTAAGGACATTCTCTAACCTAGTTCACAAAACTAAGCTACTCGTACATTACGAACTAATTACTTATAATCCCCTGAGATGGTCTTCTGTCAATATGCGGTCAGCATCCAATAATCCAATAATTGAATTTTGCCGCGAGATGAGGGCATCCCTACACCTATATAACGCCTGGACAAAAGCTCTTCAGTATCAGTCAAGCTTTAGCTTCCTGTGGTACCAGTAAATAATCAAGAGTATATTATAATCACTACAGCTACTTTCACACTACTTTAAATATAATCTCAAAAACTACAAAGTAAAACTTTTTATTAAATATTTACTTAATTAATATAAAATATATTTTTAGTTTTTCTTGTTAAACATTCGTAATATATTGTCTTCCAGATGGCAGGAAACATGACTTCTTCCACTATCTGGTGCGTATGTTTCGTAGCGATTTTGTTATCACTAATCGAAGTAAGTCAAGCTAATTACAAAAATGCCCCAATGAACGGAATCATGTTTGGAAAAAGAGGACCTTCTGGTAAGTAATAATGTCAAAAAGTTATAATTACAGATTAGAGAAAGAGTTGAAATAAAACTACTTATATTACAACTGTACAATCATGTGCAATTATATAAACCGTTGATAGGTGGGGTATTCTATATATAATATTGATTATTCAGTTGGATTTCTTCTTTCACAGCTATTATTATTAGCGTAAATTTAAGAGGCTAGCTAGTAGTAGTAGTAGTAGCTTCGTATTTTTACATTAGTCGGACTTTACCTTTCTTCGAAATGTTAATTTTTCTCGCACATGCATGTTTCCTTACCATGATTGCCTTCATTACCGAGCACGTAGTAAATGAGTACTTAAATTTACAAGTTGTGATGGTTATAATTAAACTTGAGTTTTTCGTCTACAAAATACGTGGTAGAGTCATGCTGCAGTATTATTAGTATAGTTGTAGCACGAATGGGTCGGCATGACCGGGGAAGGACCACGCTCTCACAGAATACCAGCGTAAAATAGTAGCTCAAAGCTACTGTGTTTCGTATGGAGAGTGTAGAGAACCGGAGACTCTTTTTACTGAAAAGGAGGCATTCCATCTTAGTCCTCACGAGTGACAACGCATCTGTATTTTGAGTCGTAATCGAGGATAGATGTAGATGTCAGTGGGCCACAGCAACCACTTACCATCAGGTAGACTGTGTGCTCGTTTGTCACCCTAAATAAAGAAGAAACCATTAACCAACCCCCTGAAAACAGAATTCGTAAACATTTCCAGGTTGTGGGACTTCTATCTAGGAGTCCCTGTGGGTAAGTATCACACCTTTTTAAATATTTCTACTGCTAAATAGCAGTGCGTACACTGCTGTGTTCCGGACTATAGTGTTTGATAGCCTATAATAACAAGCCATATAATTACAGGACGTGAGGCATTCTGTTGTAGTCCTCAGAGGTGACAACATATCCGTAGACTTCTTTGTTTGAACTTGGTTGTGTGTTCATGAGATGCAGAAGCCACTCACCATAAGGACCACAGAACACAATTTTTCTCTACCCAAAGATAATATAATCACTACGTTTATCTCTACTACTGACCTCTGTATACATAGAGGTCAGTGACGTCTACCGATAAGGGCTGAAAGTTCGCTTGTCAATTCAACTTTTTTTAACTCACGCTTCTCAGGATCTAAGTTTCCTTCAAAGAGAATATAATCACTAAGGTTTCCTTTGACGGCAAGATACCGTTTTTAAAAGGAAAAGAAGTGGCATATTAAAATACACTGCCAAATCTCAAAAAAAGATTTTAAATTTATAGAATATGAAAACTATGGACATGCTCTTTTAAAGGTATAATATAAGAATTATTATTTTAGATTACGATGCACGCAGCAAAGCCTTTACCGCAATGTGTGAAATTGCAACGGAAGCTTGTCAGGCCTGGTTTCCTTCACAAGAAAACAAGTAGAATACAATAGATACTTCATGATGGTGGACAATGTTTGCTTACGGTAATCGATTGCAAAATGACATTCAAGCTAATTAACGTAAACTGTAGCTCTTATGTTAGATTTGTGAATGTTATTTTATGTAAAGTAGTAAATAATATTATTGTTTTAAAATTAGTATTAATAGGGCTCAATAAACATAATGTTATTTTAGATGTAACATAACTTAAATAAAGCATTTTTGTCTTGTAAACATTTTTTTATTAGTTTTACTGCTGTTGTTTTGAGTTTCTATATTTACCCGTAAAAGTAAAATAACGTAAATGTAAAATAAAAGTAGCTGCTGGATAATATAAAGGCCACTCCCATCCTTTTTAAAAGATTAGGGTGAAAAACGAGCACACAGTCCACCTGATGGTAAGTAGCTACTGTGGCAACATTTGACGCACGTACCCTGAGGACTGACGAGAAGATCCTGGAGCTGGAAGAAGAGATAAACAAGTTGCACTGGAATATTATAGGATTATCCGAGGTCTGAAGAGAGGGGGAGGACACGGTGATTCTTGAATCCGGCAACTTGTTCTATCACCGGGAGGGCGACCATCTGTCCCAAGGAGGTGTTGGATTTATCGTCCACAAGTCTCTCGTTAACAACGTTTTAAAGATTGGGAGTGTAACGACGAGGGTTGCGTACCTTATACTCAGAATCACCAAATGGTATTCGCTGAAGGTCATACAGGTTTACGCGCCAACGTCGGAACATCCCGATGAGGAGGTGGGGGAAATGTATGAGGATATTTATAGAGCCATGCATTCTTCCAAAGTTCACTATACGGTGTTAATGGGAGACTTCAACGCAAAACTGGGCACAAGAAAGAACGATGAGCTGAAGGTAGGGAAATTTGGGATAGGACAAAGGAACCCAAGGGTCCAGCAGCTGGCCGACTTCATGGAGAAAGAAGGACTTTTTATGATGAACTCTTTCTTCCAGAAACGGCCCCACAGAAAGTGGACCTGGTCGACACCGACGGTTCGACAAAAAACGAGATTGACTTCATTTTGACGACCAGACGCCAACTGTTCAGTGATGTCTCAGTGATCGCAAGGGTGAAAACTGGCAGCGATCACCGAATGGTTAGAAGCACACTGAACCTAAACGTTAAGTTGGAGAGGTCTCGTCTAATGAAGTCAACGCTCCGTCCCCCTCGTGCTCTAGTCCAGTATCCCGAAACCTTTCAGCTCGAGTTACGTAACCGCTTTCAGTGCCTAGAAGATTGCAATGCAGTGGACGATGTGAATGACAATCTCGTGGAAACTGTCCATGCGGTCGGAGCTAAGTTCTGCAAGACCCGCCGCAAAAGAACACAAAAGCTCTCCGATCACACTCTTAATCTCATGGATGTTAGACGGGAGATGAGGCTGCAAACGTCAACAGATTTAACAGCATACAGGCAACTGAACAGACAGATCTCCAAATGCATGCGGCGAGACTTACGCAACTTTAATACTGCTCGTATTAAAGAAGCGATCGAGCGAAACCAGGGCTCCAAAGTCTTTGCCAGAAATCTGTCTGCTAGAAAGAGCCAACTGTCAAAGCTGAAGACTGATTGTGGCAGCATCGTTTCGAGACACCTGAGATTTTGAGTGAGATTGAGAGGTTCTATGGGCAGCTGTACACATCATCGTTGGAGCCACATGCAAGTGTGAGTAACGATCCAAGAGCAAGTCTTATCCGACACTATTCCGATGATATCCCGGATGTCAGTCTGAGCGAGATTAGAATGGCTCTCCAGCACCTTAAAAACGGCAGGGCCCCAGGCGAGGATGAAATTACAGCGGAGCTCCTGAAAGCGGGTGGAACACCGGTACTTGAAGTCCTTTAGAAGCTCTTCAATTCCGGCCTCCATGGTGGCACTACTCCGCAGGCGTGGAGCAGAAATGCGGTGGTCTTGTTCTTCAAGAAAGGTGACAATGCTCTCTTGAAGAACTACAGACCGATTTCCCTTCTGAGCCGCGTCTACGTGCTGTTTTCGAGAGTCATTACGAATCGTCTCGAACGCAGACTCGACGACTTCCAGCCTCCCGAACGAGCTCGGTTTCCGAAAAGGCTTCAGTAACATAGACCACATACATACCCTGCGGCAGATTGTACAGAAGACCGAAGAGTACAATCTGCCACTTTGCCTGGCGTATATGGACTATGAGAAAGCCTTTGATTCCGTCGAAATTTGGGCGGTGCTACAGTCCCTTCAGCGGTGCCAAGTTGACTGTCGGTATATCGAGGTGCTGAAGTATTTGTACAGTGGGGCTACGATGGCTATCCGAGTACAGAACGAGAGTTCGAAACCTATCCAACTGCAGAGAGGTGTAAGACAGGGTGACGCTATATCCCCGAAACTCTTCACCGCTGCGTTGGAAGACGTTTTCAAGCTACTAGACTGGAAAGGATACGGTATTAACATCAATGGCGAGTACATTACTCACCTTCGATTTGCCGACGATATAGTCCTTATGGCAGAATCGCTGGAGGACCTTAGCACTGTGCTCAATGACCTTAATGGTGTCGCCCAACGGATAGATCTTAAGATGAACATGGACAAAACCAAGATCATGTTTAATGTCCATGTCACACCTATGCCGGTAGTTGTTGGGAGCTCTATGCTCGAAGTTGTTGACGAGTAAGTTTACCTGGGACAAATAGTCCGACTAGGTAAGTCCAACTTCGACCGAGAGGTCAATCGACGGTTTCAACGCGGCTGGGCAGCGTTCGGGAAATTACGACACATCTTCTCGTCAGGTATACCTCAATCTCTGAAAACTAGATTGTACAACCAGTGCGTGTTGCCAGTGATGACTTACGGATCTGAGACATGGTCCTTCATTGCTGGCCGTATGAGGACGCTCAAGGTCGCTCAGCGAGCTATGGAGAGGGCTGTGCTCGGAGTTTCTCTGCGTGATAGACTCAGAAATGAGGATATCTGCAGTAAACTGAAGTGGCAATGGACCGGCCGTATAGCTCGAAGAACCGATAACCGATGGGGAAGAAAGGTTCTCGAGTGGCAGCCTCATACCGGTAGGCGTAGTGTAGGGCGACCCTCCACTAGATGGAGTGACGACCTGGTAAGATATGCAGGAAGTCGATGGATGCATACTTGGGGAGGCCTATGTTCAGCAGTGGACTTGTGAAGGGCTGTAATGATAATGTTGATGATGATAAATTCCCGCCTAATACTTATTTGGCTCCGTGAACCTCAGCGTTCATCACCACGATCCTTGGTAAGGTGCCAGCTGTCAACGGTAAGTCTTGGGTACATGTGCATAAGACCGTACAGTTGCACTTGTGGTCGACGATAAGACTCCGCTACTAATCGGGAGTCCGCACCGCATCATCAAGAACCTTCTGCTGCTCCATCTTGGTCAACGATAAGCCTTCACCTTCGAGTGTGAGCCCGCATCACAACCCCTTGCACAACCGGATCACCGGACAGTTTGACTCGCCACCAACATTAGATCTTGTATCATCATCATCATCAATACCTGTAAGGTGACTTCGAGGTAGCGGCGTAATTTAAAACTTCGTGAGTCGTCGAACATTCATGCCACCGCTGCAATTGACGTCATCGCTGCAGTACGAATTAACTGACACGTTGTGGTAAACCTAGATATTCGTGAGAATCTACATTTTGTGAGTGTGTGGTTTTATATAATATGAAATTAAATCTTTTAAAAGTTATTAATTAAAGTTATTTTACAAGTGAAAGTGATTTAATCTAAAAAGTAATCAATTGTAAGAGATTTATTTTAAAATTAAATCATTGTAATACCTATTTTGTTTAACATATTTTGTTGTGTTCTGATGTTCTGTGCTGTATTTTAAAAATATTCCCTATTAATTAATATTCTCTAAAAAGATAAAAGCTGAAGAAGTTAAAATTTCAAACTCTGACTCCTCAGATAGTTCACAGTCAAGACCAAATCCAACACCGAAAAATATTAAATTAAAAATGTCCGAAAAAATCACCTCACACTTATTAAATTTGTTAAGTCCTACAATGGGGATGCTGGGGATGGGGAACTGGATGCTTGGCGGTCCACCACTGTACGTTTCAGAAGGAGTTTTCTTCCGCGTACGACCTCTCTGTGGAATAGTTTACCACCGGCGATTTTTCCGGACAGATACGACCTGGGGACCTTCAACCATCACCTTCTTCTTTATCAGAGACAAGGCGAAATTCACCAAACTGTCAAAAACCCTCTACGAAAAGGGTTTCAAATATGACCAAGCCACCAATGTCGGCGAGGCCATTAAAATCATGCCTGCGTCTATAGAAGACTTCCGAAACATCACTCGTCACTTCACGGCCGAGCGCGTGTTCACACGTACGCTCTCGCCGAAGAAAGAAAAGTAAAAGCAGTCCTCTGCGGAGTCCCTCACGTACTCGCAAACGAGGACATCTTAGATGATCTAAAGTCCCAGCGCTTCCCAGTCGAGGCTGCGAGTGCACAAGATGCACAGCAGCATGGGCGAGAGGTTCAACTACTCCTACTCGTACTCTCAAACGTGCCGGAGGCGAAGGCCATCTTCCGCGAGGTACGCACTGCGGCCTGTCGCGTGTAAGGGTCGAAGCCCCACACCAGCGCGGTTACCCAGCGCAGTGCCACCGCTGCCAACTTTATGGACACGCGGCAGCCAACTGCTCAGCCCCGCCCAGGTGCGTTAAGTGCCTAGAACCCCATCACTCGAAAGAGTGCTTTCGGATCAAAAATGCCGAATCCAAACCCGCAAGTGTCCTATGCGGACAAACAGGCTACTCGGCCTACTTTAGAGGCTGCCCTCGCGCTCCTCGCCCACTTCTGAGAAAACTACAAAGCTCCACCTCAGTTCAATGACCGAACTTTACCGGCTCTTGGAAGCCGCACGCCCCGTCAGGGCCTGCTCCTACCACAGCCCCCTCAGGGCTCATCTCAGCCCACACAGGGCACCTATCGGCCCCCTCAGGGCCCAGGCATTGAAATTTTG